CCAACCTCGCGCGTGAGTCGTGCGGCCTGGGTGGGGAAGGTAGACACCAATGATCACCACAACGGCCAGGGCTGCGCCGGTACGTGACCCAGCCGAGTCATGTAAACCTGTGTTAACCTACAGGCGAACAAGACGTTGTCGTCTGCTGCACAAGCGGCGCCATGGGGTTGCCCACGTAGACTCGTGCTGCCGCCTATTACAAATAAGTTGAGTTGCTTGTGGAAGGGTACAAAGTTTGTGTGGATGATGAACGATGGCAGGCTCCTCTGAAACGTTAATTTGCAAAACTTTGTCAACCTTGCGCTAAAATTGTTTTTTCCGAAGACTAATTTCAAAGCTTTTCAATGCGCATGCGTGAACCCCCTCTACAGCGCCGGCGAGACAGACATTTGGCCAAAAGGGAATCGAAAGTCCCTGTCCCTAGCGAGTGTGGTATCTCTGGCGGATCTCTTACCCGGCTCGAGTTCCAAACGTGGTCCGCACGCATCGGAGGACACGGCACCGCGGAGCTCTGGAGCTTGTAGTGAAAGGAAAGGAGATCCCTCTACGCAGTAATTTAATTAGTCCAATTCTGTTACAGTATCGACATAGGACACAAAACTAGCAAATATTGAAATTTTCAACCTTTATAAAGTCCATTGTGGCTATCTCACCCGTCTCAACCGATGGTGAAAGTTTCTCGTCTTATGAAGATTGCCATTCCAGTTTCGATCCAGTTTGATAAGCCGATTGGCGTTGATAAAAATCGCGATATAAGTAGAATTGTGTAGGATCAACATTAGTACCAAACCTCAGAAGTATTTTCAATTTACTTCAAATCTGCTGTCAAATTTTGTGCGTGCACAGACTGCAGTTTCTCTCTCCGCGTATAGGGACACGACGAAAGGAGTTAGCAATTAATCCTTAAAAAGTTGTGACTGTACTTCTGCCCGCGGCTCGTGACTCACTTGACTTTGCATACGAAAAGGGTCTGGTGCAGCGGTGCGCTTGCAGCGCCTGCTTGCTCTACGCGCCTCGCAGTGTGCTGGGCTCGCTTCAACAATGCCCTGCTTCAGCCTTACAGCATAACAAGGACGAAAAAGCACCGCAAAGCATATCGCACCGTTGTGTCGATGGCGAAACAATTGTCGAATGAGGTGTGCGCGTCGGTCTGACCAAACCGGTAACAAAAAAATTCAAAGCGAAGCTGATATTCACTTAACCTGCACCCAATACCCCGAATACTACCTAAAAGCCCAGCCAACATAGGCAGACATTTTGTCGTTGTTTTGCTGCGCCGGGGTTGGACAAGCCGTCGTTGTAACCCTTGTTGAAGTTAGCTGACACACCTCGAAAAAGTGTTTCTTTTCTGAAGCACATGCAGACACAGGCTCAAATTCACTCTAGAACCAAGGCAATATTGTCTTTGAAATAAGATCTTCCTCTTGTCCAAACAATAATAGCAGCTAGTTTCAAGGGTAAATTTTGTATTGTGTCAGCACATTTCAAACAAGAAAAAATGTACAACCTACCAGAAAATAAATTAAAAAAACAACAACAAAACAGTTTTCCAGGGTGCAGTGCGCCGAGCTGCAGCTAGCTGGGCCGAGTGGTACGGTCACCTGCAGCCGGCGGCGCGGGCTGCCTGCCGTAAATCTATTCCCTCTCCCCTAGAACTAAGCACCATATCCATCAATTCCGAGCCGCGCGCCTCGAAGGCCCTTGCGACGCCTTTCCCCGACAATGATATTACAAAATCGACACCCTCAATCCTTGTATTCTAAAAATGTACGCATTGCTCTGAATATCCTGCGTGTCTCCTCTGGACTCGCGAGGTAGTAGCAGAGACCGAGCGAGACGCTCGCACGTTGAAAAAGTTTCTTGTATTTCAAGACCCTGTCTTGGATCTTATGGAGAACGCCAATGGCATTCAAGACCGAGTCTTGAAATACAAGAAACTTTTTTCACCGTGCGGAATTAGTGCGATACTGCTTGGCGGTTACTTTAAATGGGAAAGTACTGCTTCGTACCCAGCGACTCAATTGGATGCAAATTTTTAAAAGTTTTATTTAGCCTAAATTCAAATAACTCGTCTAGTTCAGAGACAATATTGCACATCCGATTGTACACAAAACTGCCCTAGAGTGGCCACACGTCGTCGTGCCTCTTCCGTACCGGGCACTTTGTTTTATGTTAATATTGGCGGGCGTTTGGTGAGGGATCGGCCCGGGCGAGTGAATACGACACCACACAGCAGCCCGAATCCTGCGGGTGAGATCACAAAGTGACATCATCTGTCTTGGAGGAAGATGGAGTACCAGCACCACCTCCGTGGCGCGGCGCGGCTCGGCTGCGCGGCGGCGCGCCCGTGCAAATGCAACTCACGCTCTCGGTGGGTCCCAGCCTTGGGGGAGGTCGGGGCGAGTCAAGTCCGAGTGCAGCCGGCGGCCGGCTCAGGCCCGAGCAGCACAATCGGCAATTAGGGGTGCGGGGTGGGAGGCGCAAGGGAAGGGTTTCCCGAGGGTTCCCCGGAGCTGACCCGCGCCGGGCCTCTCTCCAACTGGCCTCGGCTTTGACTTACCCGTTGAATTACCCTTACAAGTTGGTTTGCATTTTGTATCCTCAATAACTCGGCAGCATCATCCGACGGCTTATGTCGGCACTCTGTATCCCTAAAATTTTCTGTATGTACACCCAGAATTTTTTTGTCTTGTTTCAAGTTCAAGCACACATTTAAACCATGCCCAGAGCTTTTCTTCAGTCGTGCCAAAATTGGTTTATTTTGAAGAATTAATTTATTTCTAATTCATATCTCTTTCGAATGAGATAATTTTGGGTGTAGACTGAAGAAAAGGTCTGGGCATTGGTTTAACTGGTGCTTAAACAAGATTGCCTTTTTCTGGGTGTACTCGCGAGACCGAGCTCGGTGAGTCGGTCGCGACATGGCGTCCTCTCCTCCCCCCGCCCGGTATCCTCACATGCCGCCATGACGGCATACCGCCGGTCCTGCGCCCGCCGTCAAAATTCGCCGCCCAAATAAATCATTATTACAAATCGGGAGCCTGACTGATGATTTTGATTAATCGTGCGAGGCGGTGGCCCGCCGGCTGGACGCGCCACAGCGCCGCCCTCAAATTGTCGCTGATGGGACGTCCGCCTGAGCGATGCGGCCTTCCTCACACACCGGAGGAATCCACCAATCACTTCCGATCGATTGTTAGTCAGGATATGACCTCACGATTTTTGAAACACAACATGGAATATATGGAATATTTTTGGAATATCTGAGGTATTTTTTGCATATTTTCCAGTGTGTACATGGAATATCCAAGTATGGTACTCCTCTGCCAACAAGTGGACTCCAATTTTTTAGCAGATGGCACCTTAAAAACAGGGACTTTAATTATTCATAGGTAATGTTAAGGTGTCAACTAGTTTGAACTCTCGTAAATAATTACAAAAAAAGAGAACCAAGTGCCAAGTGGAGCTCGCTGGCTGCTATACCGTCGTGCCGATTCGGCGTTTCGGATTTTCTTACGTGCTTCAGAACATTTTTAAACATGGGATAAGATTAGAACAGCTCTACTTTTGAATTTGCATCATCTGCTCTCAACATTGATTCTTGATTGTGATTTTTGAATTACATTATGGCATCTTATTTAGGGAGACAAATATTAATTACTAGTGCCACTTATTGACTGGATTAAATGACGGAGCAGTCAGCTACTAAACGCGATTTACAAAAGTTCTTTTGGTACTCCAAAAGCTTCACATCCATAGTCCTCGGATTTGCCGATTTAACTCATGTCCCCGTCGTACGTAGGGCAGAATGCGTGCGAAATGCCAATGGGGCTTTCCTCCCCACTATTGCCGGCTTGCCTTGTGGAATGTGTACAAGTAACTAAGTAAGACGTAGGTGATCGTACTCGCCCCGGGCGATTCCGTGAAACGACGTCGGCCGGGAATGAGTACACCTCACGACACAGAGGGAGTCCGCTTTGCATGAGAGAGGGGGAGAGAGAGAGAGAGAGAGAGAGAGAGAGAGAGAGAGATTGATGAAACCAATATGACTTGGCTGGAGTAGAGATTTCAGAGTTCGATTTGCTTGAGACCGATTCGTCCCCCCCCTCTCCCCTTTCCCCCCTCCACACACACACACACACACACACACACACACACACTCGGACCCCTTCTCCACATCAGATCGGAGCAAATAGCTGCCATGGAACGTGAGAGCTTGATGAATCACCTTGGCGACGCACTCTTACAGGGCTGGGGCATACTCGGTATCCTCCCTTCATGTCCTAGCTGCTTTAAAACAATTAAATTAGTCTTTTATACCTTTGCGAAGTAGAACCCACGTACATGTTTCATCAATATTTTATATTTTCTATTGTCAATTGTCAAGTACATGTACACATTTATATTTTTTTCCGTTTTAACCTTTCTGTTGCATAGCTCATGCATATGGTTGCTTCGGCCGGTGTTGCCGCGCTGGTGTTTGGCCGACGAAACGATCGGGTCGGGTGCTCAGTAGACGCAGACGCAAGTCCACAAACATCGCGACTTTATTAGCGACCTGTAACCCTCTGGGTTTTAAAGTTGCTTTCGAACCATTCACGCAAGCCATTTTTTCTTTCTTTCGTTTCCCAACGGTGAGGGGTAGAGACTCGGCAGGGGGAGGGGGCGTTAGCTGCTTGCTGCTTGAAACAATTTCGTTATCATTATTGAGAATGATTGAGAAAGTGTCAGATGAAAATGAAACCGCGACCGCGTCGCACTTCTCGTATTTCGAAGGACTCCAGAGCTGAACTGCATGTCTCCTCAGCGCCCAGACGTTGTGCGCCCTGGCGCGCGTTACTCTGCGCCACGCTCTTGGCCCTCATCATTGTCACTTCTTTGCTTGCAGTGCGCAACGGGTACTCCTGCGTGCCGGTGGCGCTGTCCGAGGGGCTGGACATCAAGCTCAACACGGCGGTGCGCCACATCCGGTACAACGCCAACGGCGTCGAGGTGGTCACCTCCAACTCCAGGAACCACAGCAACGCCGTCTCCTACAAGGGTGAGTAAAGCGACCGCGGCCAGGTCGCTGTGTGCGTCATTTATAATTGAACGCCAAATTGCATTGTTTTTGTTGCAGCGGACGCCGTGCTGTGCACGCTGCCGCTGGGCGTGCTGAAGCAGAGCACCGCGCCCTCGGCCGCCGTGCTGCCCAACACGGTGCAGTTCACGCCGCCCCTCCCCGAGTGGAAGGTGGCCGCCATCCAGCGGCTGGGCTTTGGCAACCTCAACAAGGTGGTGCTGTGCTTCGAGCGCACCTTCTGGGACAGCAACGCCAACCTGTTCGGCCACGTGGGAAGCACCACTACCAGCAGAGGTCAGCTAAATTCAATGCCTCTTCCTTCATAATTTTCTGCCCATCGTTTCTTGTTTTGTGGATTTGGTTAAACTACTTTTAGATAAACTTTTTATGTGTGCTTCTTTTCCTCCAATGTTTCCAGGCGAGTTATTCCTCTTCTGGAACCTCTACCGCGCCCCTGTTCTGCTGGCGCTCGTGGCGGGAGAGGCCGCCGCCATCATGGAGAACGTGAGCGACGACGTGATCGTGGGCAGGTGCATCGCCGTGCTCAAGGGCATCTTCGGCAACACGGCCGTCCCCCAGGTAAAGTAAACTTAGTTACACCTCCCCCCTCCCCTCCTCCCTCCCTCCCTCTCCCTCTCTCCGCCCTCTCTCTCCGCCTTCTCTCTCCGCCTTCTCCCTCCGCCTTCTCCCTCCGCCTTCTCCCTCCGCCTTCTCCCTCCGCCCTCTCCCTCCGCCCTCGCTCACATACTCTTTTTCATTTTCCGCAGCCCAAGGAGACAGTGGTGACGCGCTGGCGCGCTGACCCCTGGTCGCGCGGCTCGTACTCGTTCGTGGCGGTGGGCTCATCTGGCAGCGACTACGACGTGCTTGCTGCCCCCGTCACCCCGCCCTCCGCTGGTGCGGGCGGCCCCGCTGGAGCCCCCGGTACCCCCGGCGGAGCCCCCGGCACCCCCGGAACCGCCGGAGCCCCTGGCACCCCCACGGCCGGAGGCGCCGCCGGCGCCATGCCCGGCAGCCCTGTCCCCGGAGCCCAGCCGCCGCCGCCCAGGCTTTTCTTTGCTGGTAAGACGAACTTTTCGATGAAGCACACGATTATTGTTTCCTAGAGCTTAACTGGCTCAAAAACCCCCGCCCTTAGGTCACGGTCAGATCACTCACGGTTTTCTTTCCTTTTGCGTCTCTCAGGTGAGCACACGATCCGCAACTACCCGGCCACCGTCCACGGCGCCTTCCTGTCCGGCCTTCGGGAGGGCGGCAGCATCTGTGACCGGTTCATCGGCTGCCCCTACGCGCCGCCGCCCTCCAGTGCCCCGGGGACCCCGGGCGCCCCGACCACCCCTGTGGCGGCCACCCCCACCAAGTCCTCCACCCCCTCGGTAGCCTGACCACCGTCCACCCCCGGGACCGGGGGCCGCTCCGAGTCTGCCGCCGAGGAGCAGTCGTCAGACTCCGACATTGAGATCATCTCTGGACCTTCACCCGACCCCGTGACCACCGTCACCCTGGACGAGGAGCTGCACGCGCATCCTGGACGTTCAACTCCGCCGGCCTCAGCAGTGATCAGGTCGCCGCCGAGGCCCGGGTCGGTCGCGGGCGGTCCGACTCCGACGCCCCTGATCCTCTCCAAGTCTCGCAGGACCAAGCCCAGCAGGGCGACGCCCAGGGCCCAGGCGGCGGCGACCTCCTCGCCACACCCTCGCCCTTCAACTTCGTCCTCGGGGACCTCTTCAGCTTCTTCGCCAGGGCCCTCTTCATCGGAAACCTCTGCGAGGCCCGGCTCGGGGTCCGGGATGTGGGTGTCGATGGGCCGCGGGGCGGGGTCCGGGCTGTGGTACTCCTCGGAGCCGTCGGAGCCACCCTCGCCCGCGCCGCTCCACGCCGAGGCCCGCGGCTCGGTGGGGTCTGCGGCTGGCTCTGGCTCCGGCCCCGACTCTGGCGCCTCGCCGGCACGCAGGGCGGCAGGGACGGTGCCCCCCCTACGGATAAGACTTGTGCCTCGGGATGTAGAGAAAGAACAGTGAGAAGCTCTCTGTGCACGCGTAGTGGCTAGGAATCAAATATTCTTATAATGGTTTGATTTTCCTTATTGAAAACTTTGGAGCCGTGGCTATACCCTTTGCCCGGTTCAATAACTGTGTTGTTTTACGAGGTACCTGCTAGGTCTTGTGACTTACAAGTCTGAAAACGGTGTAGTTAATTTAGTATATATGCTGTGCATATGTTTTTGTGCACCTTACCAAGTGAACTGTCGAATGTCATAATTACCTGAAATCCTAATTGTAGTAGTGTGGATTGTGATGTGAGCTGTTCTTTATGCTACTTTGCATTTTTGGTTAGAATAATTGTCTTTGTACAGCTCTGTTGTCTTTGAGTACTGTATTAGTGTGTTGCCTTTAAAGGGACATATTCCAATTGTAAATTTAGATTTCTTTGTGTTTTTAATATGCTTCTAAGATTTAATTTATTTTGTACTTAGTTTGCTGTTATAATATTTGACTCATTACGAATGTACTTGAATCTATACGGAAAATATGAAATTAAAGCTCAATTGCCCAAATATCAGTTGGTTAGAATAATTAGTTTTCTTACCAGGAACGTTTCTTCTTTTTCGTCAGAAAGACCTGGATAAGAGGACTGACTCTGTCTCGATCAAATGTGTTTTGTCAAAGTGTCACCGCTACAAGGAGAAAAAAGTTTAGGCCAAACATCAGAACTGAGTTAGGATTGTTCTTGTTTTCAGTACATCTATATCAGTAATTGTGTGTCAGATTGAAACCTCAGATTGAAGACTATGCACTAAAACATTTGGTGACCACGCTTGAAAAAGTTTGGATTACACTTTTCTTTCAAATGTGGCTAAATTTCACGGTGTGTGTGCCTGGAAATCCTTTCTCCGTGTACGCCACACTCTCCTAGCATCGACTCGATCGAGAGAAAGACACTGGCGCACAGAAAATGTTAAGTAACGTTGTGGCGCGACTGTCGTGCGACGTCGCTGCAAATTTAGAGAGCATTCTCTTATCACCGTCGCCATATCTCGCGACTGCCGGCCCTGGCGGCGGGCGTCGAGCTGCAGCCCAGGCGAGCCTGCCGGAGGTGTGCACGCTTCCGGTGCGCGCGGCCCTGCGAGCCCTTGTGCGGACCCCGGCCCCGCCGGCCCCGCCAGCCCCGCCAGCCCCGCCGGCCCCGCCAGCCCCGCCAGCCCCGCCAGCCCAGTACGAGCCAGCAACGTATACCGTTTCGTTTCCGTGGACGCGGTTCCCATATGTGCGGCGTCGGGGCCGCACATGGCTCGGCTCGGGGCACAAGAGGATCTGCTGCACCGCGGAACGCCGGCGAGCACGCATTGGTCACATATGGCGATCCGGGGCCTGCATATTGCATCGGTGGCCGGCCCGGCCGCGGCCTCTCGGCGGCAGTGCGGCGCGCAGCCCGGAGCGGCCAGCGGCGAGGACAGGGAAGGCGTGCTCGGTAAATTGTGTTTCGGCAAACAGAGCAAGAGGAAAAGCTGTTAAAACAGAAACGGCCCCGCGATTCATCTCTCCAGAGTAGCAGAGGGTGGTTGCATGTCTGATCGGACACTACTTTCGAACCCGTTCGCCGATCAAAGCCTTTTCCTGGATGAAAAAATCGGTGACTATGTTCTTTGTAACTTCTGCCTAAAAAATAGACTCATAAAACTCGACACGCGTAATGGTCCACGGCAGCTCGACGACCAGACTGGTGTGTACAGAACAAGTCTGGACTGTTGTCGTGTTGAGCTGGAGGAAACAGCAGTCAGGAGGGAGGGTCGTATATCGGTTGCATTGGGGCCTATCGCGGCCCTTTGGGCGGCCATCGCGGCTGCCTGTACTGCCCGGTACAGCGTCTGTCTGTGGCTGGGAAGCGCCGGCACCCTTGTGAACTCACTGTAAAGAAAAGTAGGCATTCAAACTCCAACACCCGCAAGAAAGATAAAAAAAATGTCCAAATAGTTTGGCGAAACGATTCTCCAGAACATTCCTGAAAAAAACAAGAAAAAAAAACCTATAGGGTCCTTTAATAAATGGAACTGTTTGGAACAACAAATAGGTGTACAATTTTACACCAACTGCATATGAGTTAATAACAACCAAACTTTGCAAATAAATTTTGAAGTTTAGTTTAAAAAATTCACGAAGAACTTTCCAAAAAAATAGCAAATTTTCCAGGTAATTGAGAAATTTCCAAAACAAAACAACACCAGTCCCTTCTAAATCGCGCAACTAAACTGGTCCGGCCAAGCGAGTATAGGCCGCAAACCCGCCGCGCAGCTCTGCGATGCTCTGCCCCACACAGAGGTCGTCAACCATCTCATCTATATTTTTGCCTCACAATTGCTTATTGCACCACAGACGATCGGGTCACGGGTTTGAGAGAGCGGGTTGCCCCTGCTCGCCTGCGCGATATGTAAGTAGGTTTATGCGGGCGTTTTCACGTCGCTCTCCGGTAAACCACGCAAACGCGCTGCGCACACTCATGAGAGCAAACAGCAGCCTGCCTCTGCTCTGTTCTGTTCACAGGGGAGATGGAGCGGGAGGGGGAGGGGGGAGGGAGGACTTGCACGACTTTGCTCCCGTTCGGTGCCACCCTTGCGCCACTCGCCATGTGTCCGATACGGCCCCTCCTCCTCCTC